TTGCGTCTAAGTGTCTCTTTAAATTCAACGTTAATTACGCGGACACTGGCTTCCCGAGGGGGCTCTTTCTACCTCTGTCTCCGTGAAAGACCCGCGATTCTTAATTCTTCGTATCGTCGCGCGTAACGAGCGGAAACTGGGACCCTTGCGAGTTGGAACGTCGCGAAAAGTCGACCATGCAACGAGCAGCTCGAGGATTCGGCTGGTGGCGCGATATGCAGACGTGAGGGATGTCGAACATTCTTGGAACGCATAAGCGACGAAACACTGATGGTATGGTAGCGAATTTCATGGAAGTATTTGAATTGCCAGCGTCAGAGAGAGTTACATTAGAACGTTGATGTGCGGAAGAAGAAACTTGGACGAATAGATTGCTACGGATAGATATAATTGAGAACGGGTGGGTTGCCGTTTGGTATCGATTTCACGGCTAGGGAGATCGATGCGGATCAAACTACAGACATAAGGCGACCAACGCGTGGGCACTGTTTGGTATAGGAAACACCAGGGACTCAAAATCCATCTCTGCTTTGCGATGAGCCAGATCAACTTAATCAACGCTAAAAAGATATGATTTTGTTTAGAAGCTTACCTACGAAAATCCGTCGTAGATCATTACAGTTCCGTAGACTGGCCTACATACATACATTCAACCATAGCACTACCCCGTTGCCATGGAAAATCCAGCCAGCCGATTTAGGATCGCCCTGTACACGCGAAACCGAACAGAGGCGGCGGGGGAATACGTGTAAACATTGGTCCGAATGCGAGAGTCGTACGTGTAAATAGATACCGGGCACGCGCACACGCACGAGAAATACATGGGAACCCTCGACACGGTGCACGCGCGCATAAGTAGGTGCAGGCACCAACACGAACGTACCCAACGGCACATAGATTATCAGGCGGATGGTGTGTGCGTGGCCACGTTTCGCCTAGCCGAGAACAGCGAGCGTGGTCCTCCTGGCGGTAAATCAGGGATTTCGGGGCGGTACGTGCGCGTCCTAGAACGTGGCCGATCGGTGGCGGTGACTCCGAACCAATCCCGGTTGCAATTTTCGGGAGAGCCGGGTACGCGTGTTCGTTTGCAAGGCGCATCGATACCTTGCACCCAGGAACACGCGAACCGGGTCGTTGGCACGCGAGCGTTACGCAACCCCGCGGACGTTTTTACGACTCCACCGAGAGCCCGTCGAAAGGCAGACGCGAAGGATAAGCCGAGCATCCAGCTGGATTTCCAGCCGAAATTTCCCTCGAATGGGTCGGCTGCCACCCCGTTTTCGACGAGATGCTAGCGAAATTATTTACTGTTCGGCGAACTTTAGATGGAATTAATACGCGAATTCCATGAGAATAATAGACAGAGAACTCCAGTTTAATCTCGATATCGAATGTTACTCTACGAACTACAATAAATCGAAATTAACAAGCACGCTCACCATTATTTACATATGAAACTCTACTGCTACTCGTTCACGTACTATCAACTATTAAAGCAAGTTGATTTCAAAAACCCCTGGAACCATATACCAAGAGAAGAATTAGTGTCTTTCTCTCCCCAGCAGCTGCACCGTTCCGAAGTAACAACCGCGAAACGTGTATTCTATCAATGCCACTACAAGACATTCACCTCAACAGCAAAATCGCAATTCACGTTCGTTTCATGCACCCGGAACCAGTCTCGCGTCATTAATTTCACAGAAGACAAACAGATTCGTGTATCGTCGCAACCGCGTGGAATTTATCCGACTGGCGATATACAGTCAGTCCCATAAATATTCGTATCCTCTACGTCTATTAAAGAAGTTTGTCTAAATGAAATAATAGGTTCGATGTTTTTAAATAAATGTTTCATTATAAATATGTACATGGACAAACTTTACACTTGTGTATATATAATGAAAAATTGATTTGGAAACATCAAACCTATTATTTAATTTAGACAAACACCTTCAATGAACACAGAGGGTACGAATATTTATAGGACTGACCGTATACAAGCGCACGATGTATGCGCATGTACCACGAGTGGAAGCGATGCAGCATGCTTTGCGGGTCATGCTTAAACGATGCAAAAGTCGATGCTATTGTTTCGGCTACCGAAACAAAAGGGAACCCTGTTCGTTCTTCTTTTCCTGATTTGTTCTGTTCTTTTAGGCGCGCCATTCTTTACGCCTCGCTTGGCTCGCGACCTCCCTGTTCCTCTTTCACTTGAACAATATCGTGGTATCGCGGATATTAGTGGATAGCCTAGAATGTAGGAGTCTCCTTTGGATAACTTTAAGGGAGCTTTAAATTAGTTAGAGTGCAACGTCATGGGTGCATACATAAATTCAGTAGAAATGGCCAGTAATGGTCAGATACGCCAGACTCCGTGAGCTTTCCGATTCAATTTTCTACGAAACAATGATCACTAGTAAACAATCGTGTCGCACACATTCGATTCATTTTGTTATATAGAACAGCCCTACTATAGATTGTAACACCAGTTATGACCCACCCCTGCGTACACTGCCCTCAAAATCCAAGGTGCCATATTTTCTATCAAACATTCCCTCACAATTTCGTTAAAACTGGGACGAAACGTGCGTTCTCGCGACGAATCCATAAAGAACCGCGCACCTCCCTGACTCCTAAAGGTCCACTCAACCCTTAGGATAAGGGTGAGCGAATCTCAGCAGTATCTCCTGCCAGCGACGAACAGGAAAGAGGAGAGCGCAATTAAAAATCTAATGGTCGATTAATTCCTGCTGCGCGTCGGGAAGCGCGATATTATTCCTGGAGCAGGTTGGTTTCCTTTTTCTGTAAATAAGCACGCGTGGAGAAACAGGCAAAACCAGGACGGGAAAGAAAAAACAAACACCTGCCAGGCAGAAACGAGCCACACGCCGTCGGAGGTGCGGGACCCTTTACTCGGGATGCGTGAAATTCGTAATAAGGTTTCGTGGCTTGACTCCCCGTGACCCCAAGGGGGACGACCAAGTTAAACAGAAGTGGAAGCGACGAATAAACGAACGAAAACCGAATCTAGGCCAGTGGCGGCTCGATGCGGGCGGGAGCGACCCGCGAGCGTGAAAAGGGGTCTCGTTGCGAGACTACTTGGTCGCAATCAGCGGCGTAACTAGGGAAGAGGCTTCGTAACAAATGAAAGGGGGACATCCAAACGCGCGCAAGATGAATGTAGAGAATCTCTATTTTGCTCAGGAATATTAGTAAGTGTGTATTTCGACTTTTCATTTTTAGTTGTACGAGGAAGTCCAACTTAGGTGGTGAAAATTCCTTTTCTGTGTGTAATATCCGTTGTAGGAATATTTCCTCTACACCTTCAACTCTTTGCACTCCTATGTCGAGCGTGACTCGACATCAGTTCTTATCTCAGTAGGAGGTGACAGTGACTCGCGTGAGAACCCTCAGGGGCTGTAGCATGCGAATATGCAGCTACAGTACGGGCTTAGCGATCCCGAGGTACCCGAGCTAGAAGAGGGCCTTTGGACCGCACCTACCAAAGACAAGATTAACGTAAATGTGTTGAGAAGAACGGAAAGAGTTGTATTTTAATGTGACGGTTACGCACTTAGATATACCAAGCTCAAGCTCATGTGAGAAGACACCGAACGTCATCCATGTTAATTCGTGGTTATCTTCGAAACCTTTAATTGGACGCGGGGAAAATAAATAAGAAGGTCGCTATGTTGGTTGCCTTCCAGGAAAGAGACACCTCTCCCGCCTCCCGGAGGGAATCGAGAGGAACTCGCGAATCTGGCCGTTTCAATTTCAACGAGTTCGCCTGAACAAATATTCTTAGATAAAGAGAGCTCGGGAGCCCCGTCTGCACGACCGAGCCTGAATGCCTAATGGTGCCGGAGTATCCGAGTAACTGCCTTCCCCTTTGCACGGGGCTGACTGCGTGCGGTAGCTTATGCATCGAATCGCGGGACTGTGGCTGGGATCCATCGGCGACACCGAAATCCAATATCGAGGCCGAAACGGCCTCGGCTCGGAATATTGAAATAACAGGGATCGCGGTCGCGTAATTATCGCGAACGGTTGTTTCTTCTTTAGCCTCCTTCGCCGTTTTCGAAACTGTCGCAACTCTGTCGTTTCGCTTGTTTATATGGAATCAATAAGGACATTGGGAGCAGTTATCGCGAACGTGGGTGCTTCGAATGCGCTTGAATGCGAGGAAAAATAGATTGACGGCAGCCAGCGAAAGTTGCGCCGCGATACGTTGGCGTCAGATTGCTAAGACTGCGTTATTCAGCATAGGAGACAATGAGCGTCGTATTTATGGTTAGTGTGGACAGTATAGACGCAAAATTTCATGCGAGAGAACGTGCGATTACGTTGTATATTAAGTTTGCGTAGGGTAAATGATGGACATGCTTTGGTATTTTTATATTGAATTAGATGGAAATGACTGGATGCATAGAACGTAAATAGATTAAGTCACCTGTAATAGTTTTGAGCCACCTGTAGAATCACGAATACACTCAGTTCTGTAAGTACTAAATTAAACGATAGGTTTTATGTTTCTAAATAAATTTTTCGTTATACATATATTATTCATGTACGTATCTATTATGGAACATTTATTTCGAAACATTAATCTATTATTTAATTTAGACAAGTTTCTTCAATAGACATGGAGCGTATAAATACTTATGGACTGATCGTATATCAATTATGAATATATTAATCCATTAAATTATAATGTAGTTTCATTTGAAATACGTCGCAGAATGTTTACTCGAATCCACATCCAAGGATGAGTCATCGACTTCGAATCAAGTCCGTTGGATTCCAACGTTGTTGTCTGTTTTTGTAAACTTTGGGCCCAGGCAAGATGCGCGTGATTGGAATTCAGCGAAGTGGAAATTTCTCGGAAATGATACCTACGTAACACAGAATGGGGAGATACATCGAATGACGTCACGAGAGCAGTTAGCAAGAAAACAAAACTACGCGACCCGTACATATTTTCAAAAGTCCTCGAGGCTCGAAGCAAGGACAACTCGAGGACGAGAGGGGAGATGGAACGACTGATCGAGCCCGAGAGTGACAGTACCGTTTCGGACGGCGTGCGTGTAACTATGTACCGATCGATCTTAACACGTACATGTACCCAGTGATATTAAATTCATATTATCACTTTACATGCGGGACCGATCGCAGTACCGAATACAACGAGAGACTCTAATCACGGTTGCGCGATCGACACCAGTGAAATACTATAATACTATCCGTGACTTTTCCTTGGACTTTTCTAATCGGAAAGTGTATTTGTGTGACTCTGATCAAAGTGCAATAATTCTCAATCAAAACACTACAAGTGAAGCCTCGATGCAAAGAGTCAACTCGACAACATTTCGCCATCCATCCCCAGGAACTCTTCCGGGTTATCTAAAGGATCCAACGCATGGTCCAGAGCAAACAATATGGAGGATCGATTAACAGAGTAACGTCGATTCGTTGTACGAAAAAGGCGAGGACTGTGCAGGAGCCAACGATTTCAAAGGGTAAGCACTGTTTGTGTTTGTATCGGGGTTACGCTCTCAGATTTTTCCAAGACTTCCGTGGCCCGTCAAAGGGAAGTAGATACGTTTATATTTGAAAGTTGGATGGAAAATGATTTCACGGAGACGGGCGGTTCAAAGCTGAAAGCCCTCGTCGAGAAATAAGGTAAACGACGAGACAGCGCCGAGCCAACTACTGGTTTCGTTCGGTTCGCCTCGGTTTCGAGAAAATCGAATTTTCGCGCGAACGTGTGAAATCGATAAACGGATTTCGCGAAGAGTTTAGCGGAGAACTGGGTCGACCGTGTCTAAACAGTCCCGCGACGCTTGGCGGCTCCTATTAATTCAATATTTAATCGACGACCCCTTGGGTGCCCGATTCGGACTCCGTATGACTATTTCGTGGTACCTACCACTTGTCTTTCTGTCGTTTTTATTCGATACCCGATTGGGCTCTCTTTGAAGGTAGACATTGATTGCTTTGCGATAGCGTAATAGTGAAATGATTGCCAATAATAAGTTCGGAATGGATTTACATGTAAATTAATAACAAGGTCAACTAAAATTCCCTATATAATAATCTCAAGTGATTCAGGCTGATACATTATTAACGCATTCAGTGCCAACTACCACTTGTCCCGTAGTCCAAATTGATTGCAATTATTCAAGGGATAAGTTTATAACCTTTTGCTTGAAATCCAACCTTAATTTGATTGAAATTTTGATTATCAAAATAATAATCTAGTGTTAAATCTTGATACCCAAGGCAAAACGCTTTATTATATTTTTAAAGAGAACCCAATATGTAAAAACATAAATCAACGGCCAATAAATCCTCGTTATCGAGATAGAATGTATCCTATGTAACATTGACTTTGGTGTCTTCATCGAAATAAGACCTAATAGTGTCTGATTACTCATGAACCATAACCGTGGATGAAATTTAGCCCCAACGGTGGTTCAGCCTAACGAGCTCGTTCCCTTTGAGGAATCTCGCAATTAATCGCTACGGGGAATTGAATCGGAGACCATACAGGGAGTCGGAGCGCCGCGAAGGGAAAGGACGGAAAAATGGCATAGATCATCTATGGGAAATCTGTAAAAGATTTAGCCGTTCGGTACACGTCAAAATACATTGCCATTGTATCCGCGTAAAATGATGATGGACGCTTCGCGAAAAGAGTTCGGTGTTGTACAGGGTCGTAAAATTCGCGAACGTTTTAATAAATTTCCCGCATTACGTTAGAAGCAGAGTTGGGGGGAGGGGACGAAGAGTTACGAGTGCGTTTATCGATTACCAAAACTTCGTCTGTACATTCACGGCGCCGGGGCTAGGCTCGCATATAAAATAGGCGATTTATCTTTAGCCCGCTTCTCTAACGAGTTACTCGATCTCGTTTCGCCTTAAACACGGGGAGAGGGGGACGGAACTTTCAACGCACTCGCGATACTTATTTATCGATTATATTCTCGCCCCATCGCGGGACGCACGCGTAATTTCTAATTACGGATTATTCTGACGCGCGAATCTGTTTTACTCGCGCGCTCGTTGAGGCTCTAGCGATAATTGAAAAAAGCCTGGGGACGTCGATGCTGAACTGTGCTGTAATTAAAATTTCGAAAATTTCTCGCTTTTCGCGACACTTTAATTTAAAATTTTTCAAAAAAATGGAATTTAACGATTTGTGCAGTGAACGGGTCATGTAGAAAATCGTAAATATACATTATACGTGCAATGCTTCCTTCTGATTCTAAACGATCGCATTTAGCGATATCCAGGGCAGTATTACAAGGGTAAGGATAAACATTTCCGCACTGGCCATCGGTAGGGCCTCCCGTAATAAAGCGAAGGAACAGATGGCGCAGTTTTCTCCCGACCATTGTGGTTGGTAACGTCTTTGCGGAATTCGTGTCCCATTGAAACTGACTCAAAGAAGCCGCGCTGGATGCCATTCAAGAACGAGGCGTATTAATTTTGTCGCTAGTCGAGAGTCGGCAGTCGGAGCGTCGCAGCTCGAGAAAAGGGAACGAGATCACTGCCGAGATTATTATTCGCGAGAGAAAGGAATCCTTTCCTACCGCGTCGGTCTTTCAGCTGGCAATTTTTATCCTTCGGCGACGGTATACTTTTCAAAACCGGTCGACTGTTTTCGACACCCCCGAAAAATCTATTCAACGTCACGGACAAAAGGGGCGAGATCCTTTGACTGATGCAAGATTGCTGGTATCGCGTGGGATGAACCGTTGGGAGAGGGGATGGCTTGTCTTGCAACCATAACTGAGTTCCCTTTTTTCGAGGGGAAGTGGAGAGATACTTTATTTTTGTTTTATTTTAACGCATTCGCGACCGTTGACGTACATTCGCGTCATTTCAAATTCTACTCCTGGTTATGAAAATATTATGAAAATGTTTTTATTTTATACAGTACATATTTACAACGTTGACATTTCAAAACATATTTCGTAACTTTTATCTTTGGCCCAATGATACAAACTTGCGATGTCCAGCTTCAGAATTTTATTTTCATCGGTACTCGGTATTACAGATGTAAAATATCTGCCGGTCGCGAACGTGTTAATAACAATTCTAGGATCAATTCGTAGCCCTAGTAACATTCTGCAGTAGTACTTATATTTAGAACCCTTTTAAAATTTATCAGTACTACACAGATTTATTTTCATTAACATTTCACCTTCAAAATTTATTTATTTATTTGCTTGGTGAAAATTCTTGTCACACATATGTGGATTACGTGACGCTCAACGTGGTAATAACATATTCACCCAGTAGAGGGTCGAAGTTGTTCAACGATAGTGCTTCCACCTCGATTAAAATTAGAGAAGAGGTGGAATGGAAGCAAAATGCCGGAAGACGGTTCCCTGACTTTTTCTAATCGCGTCGGAACGCCCGCTCGATCGCGTTTAATCCGCGATTAAACGCCGCTGCAGGCGCCATTAAACCGGAACTAAAGGACACCGGAATCCTGCAGCGGGATATCGCCGATATAGACGCCTGCGATCCATTCTCCGTTTAAGCCGGGCCTTGACTCTTCGGCCATTCACCGATCCTCCCTGGTGCGTGCTCGTGGCTCGTGCTTCGACTAAACGTGGGCTTTACCACTGTCAGCCCGTCGCGTACCTCTCCGCACACGGTTTGTAACCTAACGTATCCCAGATTTTACGGATCTCGCGATACACGGGGATATCGGGCCGACGCGCCGAAACAGATCCCGGATTAGATGGGAAACCGATCCCGCCTCGGAAACGCCGTCAATCGAAAGGGAAATTTTATTTAAAACGGGGATACCTCGATTTTTATTTTTCTTATCCCTCTTTACTGCCTTCCTCGCTATTCCAGCGATTAAATTTATTCATTCTTGCTGATTTTCAATTTACGTGTAAACGGCTAAAACATAATTTGTTACCGAAATAAATGCACTAGAGAGTTTAATGCCGCAACTGCGCTTGATTATCTTTTATTTTTTACATGCAATCCGTCGAGTAAAAGTCGCCCAAACTCGAACATTTTTCGCTAATTAGTGCTTCGGGAACTGGTTTTAAAGAGTGTGCATAAACTCTTGTAACTTTTCACGCGTATTTAAATTCCGACTTGCGTAGACGTGACATCTGCTGAAAAACTGTAGAAACTTTCGAAATGGTCAAATATAAAATCCTCCTGGTAGCCTTTCGTCGATCTTCTATCTTACAGATTATTCGATACCGGTACGATTTTTCTCTACACGTGTTTTTTTGTTCATGTTATTGCGAAATAAACGCGATTAAATTCAATAACGATGACACTACGTCGGAAAAGATTCGACCAATGCCGGCAGTATTTTAGCGGTCGAGTTTCGCCGCGTAAAAACGTAGCAATTCGGATAGAGGGAAATTAAAACGAGCCGGAATTTTCAATAAACGATTGTACCCGCGGCAACCGGCGCGCCGCCATCGAAGGGATTAACTCGTTAATTCGATCGCACGGTCCTTCGCTGTGCGCAGCGCGCATACAACGTGTACGGGGATTTTACGATCTCGCAGCGACGGTGCTATCAAGGCCGTAATTCATATGAAAAATTGTTCACGCGAGGTGTCGCGTTACGCTTCGAGCGCGAACGTGCATACGTATCGCGGTCCTCCGAGGTGAGAAATTCTGGAAGTTATGCGGGACGAGACACTAGCGCCGACTGCGTGACGCCTGACAACTAAGCGAGATGTGAGGTGGACGAAAAGCGTGTTGGCAAAGTCTTAGTCTCTCTATCGAGGAATATTTATTGCATCGCACTGAATATTTAATACTTCATTATTTGAGCTATTCACTGCACATATCGATTTTCGATCGAATCTCGAGTTTAAAAAAAATCTTAAATCTTAACTGTCAAAGCATTTGGTATAGTCATAACTTATTATATTTATAACAACTTCCTGGATAATAAAGATTAACATCATTAAAAGAGAAAATTTTGTTGACCATCGAATAACGAATAATTTATTTCAGAGACCATTTCGATCGCATTTCTCAACTTTTTGCTTCATTAAGTTAATTGATCTATACATAGAATATAGATGATTCTATAAGTAGAAGAATAACTCGTGTGATATACACCGAACTCTGTACAGTCCAACGAATAATTGGCCAATCGAAAAAAACTTCGTGATTAAATGATTCAACACAGCTTCTATTTTAGTTTTGATATTTCAGTAAAGTTCAATCCGACTTTGTGTCATGAATTTTTAAAACACTCCAACTAGGAATTGATCTTTATTTTAATACCGTCGTAAAGAAAGATGACTCCGGTCATCGACCGAAAGTTGGGTCAGTAGGGACAGGATTGGCACAGGATGTATCAGGATGAATTCATGGACGCTTTGGTAGAACACCACCAGTCCACAATGAAATTCTGGAATGAAACACGAACGAGCTTCATATTCAGCTCGGTTGGCCGGTCGGTCAGTCGTTTCGAGTTGGTTTACGAGCCTGGCGCTGCATTAATTCGCTCCGTCGA